GGCTGCAGTGAGCCGAGACTACGCCATTGCACTCCAGCCCAGTGACAGAGGGAGATTCTGTCTCTAAATAAATAAATAAATAAAGTCTTTAAACAAACAAGCAAACAACCCATGTGCATACATGGAACACACATTAGGTATATAAATATCAACATTTTTAATATGACCAGTGATCTTTCTGATGCTTCTTAATTTTGTCACATTTGGGTTGAATTTCAGCAGTATTCTTTGCATGAACTAATGTATCTCTCCACTGTTTCTGTGTATTGTTTCAATAATATTCATGGTAGAAAAATGAGTCTTACCTAGGTATGATGATAAGAATCAAAGAAGAATGTTTTTAAAATTTCATCATTTAAGAATGTTAAATTTTTTGTCTAACATAAAGTTATGCTGTGTTTTCAAAATGAATGTCAACTTTTTACCAGCAGCCGGTTCCAGTAAGTTCTTCTGTTAAATTTTACCCAAACTTAAATTACATTTTAAAGAAAGAAATGGATTCTGGATTCATGAACTCCTTATGTGTGAATCTTCTTTAGAAAATAAATTTAAATATTCTATCAAATAGTACAATACTTAGAGATAACTTTTTACAGACTGCAATGTAAAGATTATTACCCGCTTCAATGATAATTGCTAAATTATGGGATATCTTGTTTTAGTTTTCCATTGCTACCAAAATAAATTACTACAACTTAAAGGTTTAAAATAACACTCATTTCCTCTCTCACAGTTCTTTAGGTCATAAATCTAGGCAGATTCAGCTGGGTTCTCTGCTCAATGTCTCACAAATTGACACTAAGCTAGCAGCTGTAAAAAATATTTGCACATCACACATACAAAAAAAGGTTCATATCCAAAATATTTAAGGCACTCAAACAACTCAATAGAAAAAAGAGACAATTTAAAAAATGAACATAGAACCTGGATATACATTTGTCAAAAGAAGACATACAAATGGCCAATAGATATATGAAAAGATGCTCTACATCACTAATCATCAGAGAAATGGAGACCACTGTGAAGTAATGGATATATTATTTAGCCTGATTGTGGTAATCATTTTGCAATGTATGCATATGTGAAAACATCACATTATACAACATAAATATATACAATTTGTATTTGTCAATAACATTTGCTCAATAATACTAGGGGTGGAGAAAAGGTGCCAGCTGAGCTAGTCTGTTACCTGGTAAGGAATTTACTTCTAAGGTCTTCCAGATGGTTGGCAGAATACAGCTCCATGCAGTTGTAGAAATGAAGTCCCCGTTTTTCTTTTGTTTCAATTTTGTCGTTGTTGTTACTTGGCTGGAGTCAGTATTTCTCAGCTTCTAGAAGGTTTCTGGTATAAACTCCTCCATTTCAATGACTATTCAAAATGATTACCTACTATTGCAGCAGTCCTACACAAAGCTTACTTTAAAGAATTTTTAAGGTTGGGCACAGTGGCTCATATCTGTAATCCCAGCACCTTGGGAGGCTGAGGTGGGCAGATCACTTGAGGTCAGGAGATGGAGACCAGCCTGACCAACATAATGAAACCCCCTCTTTACTAAAAATGCAAAAATTAGCCAGGCATGGTGGTGTGTACCTGTAATCCCAGCTCCTCGAGAGGCTGAGGCAGAGAATTACTTGAACCTGTGAGGCAGAGGTTGCACTGAGCCGAGGTCATATCAGTGCACTCCATCCAGCCTGGGTGATAGAGCAAGACTCCATCTAAAACATATATGTGTATTTATATAAAATATAAACATATATTTATTATATCTATATAATAAAATGCAAGCTTTTCTAGTTTTATACTATTCAGATATTCAGAGCTAATTATACTTGTAAATAATGGGGCCAATACAACAGTTCTACATTTATATCACTAATATGTCCAAATTGCACTTGTGGTAAAGCAATTGCCAAAGTTTGCAATGTCTGTGCATTTACCAAGTTGCGATGATGTCAGCCAGTGCTAAGTACATTGCACTATGTTGTCGACCAGTCCTGAGTACATGGCAAAGATTCATTGGAAATTTCTGATGCAATCTGTGACTCTTGTCAATTAACTATATTTTTTTAGTCTTAGCAACACAAAATGCTGTTGGCTACAGCCAACAGAAGAAATAATTAATACTTTTCAGATTTTTATAATACTTTAAAAAATTTTTTAGTTTGAACTTTTTTATGCTTTACATAAATGGCATTTAAAAGGTGATATTTATTGCTTCATTAGACATACATATTCAGAAATATATACTTTGGTTTTAGCACTTCACAAAATCAAACTACATGTATATATATAAAAGACAAGTAAAAATTCTTGGTTTCTTATTTCTTTGGAATAATATCATCATTATTTGCTTCGTTACTTTTTTCACGTTCATGCAAGTTAAACATTTTTACCTTCATAATTTTATATGATTCACTGTAAACACTTGTCAAATTTACATTTATTACTTCATTATTACTACATTGTTAATACAAATTAACTCCTTTTCACATTCCTGCTTCTTGATTATTGTTTTTTCTTGACCAAGAAAGGTCTAGTAAAGTTTATTTTGCCATCAGTAAATTAGAATAAAAATAAGTTGAATTTTTACTTTGCTTGTTTAGCTAATTATGTAAAAAGTGGGTTAAAAAACAGACAATATAAATTACAATAACTGCAAAATAACATATTAAAAATTAAATGCTTACATTTTCTCAGATTTTTTATGGTTTGTGTTGGAGTTGGAAAATGAATCTTAGCACACCATGCAATAGGCCCTATTTTCATGCAAAAATAATAATAATTACTATTATAAATTCTTTTGTTGATATCTCCAAGCTTTGGGCTCTACTGGGAATTTGATATCTTTAGAAAATCTAAATGGGAAGAATATCTTTAGAAAAGAACTAATATTTTTCTGAAAGTTGATGATATTTTCAGATTCTATATTTTTATTTTTTGGGGGGAGGGTTATTTTGAAACTTTTTGTTTGTTTATTTACTTTACTGAGGATTTAATTCTGACATCTCTATAAGAAATATTTTTGGAGGTATTAATTTCTTTTTTTTTTTTTGAAATTTGAAGTTATTTAGCTCTTGTTCCCATTACTCTTTGTCAAAAGTAATCCTAGGTAATAAAATATATTAGGGGGCACAAATTGTTTCTCTTATATATCACAACGCTATTCAAATAGTGATTTACAAACTTGTATTGGTTAAACACTTTTACCAGTACTGCTAAGATAAGCCGGAAATTGAGAGTAAGCATTTAGAAACTTATATTTTTGAGGTTTTTAACCCCATCCAACCGGAGAAGTTTCTTTAACAGGGCATTGTGGAACTTGCATGTTGAGCAGAAAGTGCAAATATCTACCACTATTACCAGCAGATGTGGGCAATTTTTGGACAATAAGTTCAGCGATTAAAAGATGATGTTTAAAGCAATTAAGCTTCTTGAAACCGAAAAAAAAAAAAAATGACTAACCATAGCCAACTCTGTGAAAGATCTCAGGAAACAGCCAAAAGCTTTGGGTCAATTTGCCTAATATAACAAACACAAAAACCAGTTTTAGCCTTCAATTTCTTTTTTCTCCCTTGATGGCCTGTAGTTTTTTCTTTTCCATCCATTTGGCATTAAGTGCTTTAAACTAATTTATCTAAGGGTATGTCTAACTCAAATTTATATTTCTTGATATTTCTGATACATGCTGTTTTGTGGATAGTTGGTTTTTGTTTTTTTTTTTAAAATTATACTTTAAGTTTTGGGATACACGTGCAGAACGTGCAGGTTTGTTACATAGGTATACACGTGCCACAGTGGTTTGCTGTACCCATCAACCCATCATCTACATTAGGTATTTCTTTTAATGCTATGCATCCCCTAATCCCCCACCCTCCGACAGGCCATGATGTGTGATGTTCCCCTCCCTGTGTTCGTGTGTTCTCGTTGATGACTGGAGTGGAGCATGCAAGGAGAGTGAGATTGGAATTTCTATCCTGCAGGCTCTCTCTTAGAGGGCAGCCTCAGGTTGGCTGCATTTCTTGCTTAAAGGCCAAAGCTTTTTATTAAACACAATTCCTCAATAGCTATTCTGTCTTGATCTATCTTCCTCTTCAGTCCTAAGAGTGATAATGGTTTATTTCATTCTTGTCAGCCCCTGAGAACAGAACCATCTTGTTTTATATGTCTTTGGAAAGAATACCGTGATTCAGGTACCCTATTTGAGTGTGCTCTGCGTTTCCTGCCAAAACTTTGACTGATCTAGTGATCAATTTTTATATTTAGCTATTTAAAAAATGAAAGGCAAAATACTGCAATGTAGATATGACTACCCTTTCGTTACTTCATTTTGCTGACTAAAACTCTACTAAACACAAATAGGATGTTTTAGTTTTGGTCATACACTCATAGAATATACTCAGATATGAAAAAAAAGAAAAAAATTTGGGTGTAAGACAAGCAGAGAAAGCGGTGTCTAAATGACGAAAAGACAGGAGATATGAAAAGGAATTTATGAGAATCTTTAAAGAACAGAAAACAATAATATGATCACAAATGATTACATAAAATTTCCTATATACTAGGCAATTTATATTCCTATATAAGCAATTTACATTTATTGAACTATTTATTTCTCACAAGAACTTGATGAGGAAATACTCTTCTCATACAGGTGAGGAAACTGAGGCACAGAGCAGTTAGTCTGGTTGTATAGCCTGTCCTCTTAGCTACCATGCCATGCTGCCCTTTCAATGGTTTTGCTGATAAAAGTGGTAAAGCATAATAAAGACTAGATATATGGATAGATACATTTATAATCGTAACTTTTTATACTTATTTCCATAATATCCTTATATTTTACTTATATATTTAAATTCTTCCTTAATATAGAATGTTCTTAAGCCTAACTTTAGTTCTCACTACTTTTCCAAAAATAATAACTTTGCATAACCTGTATTGTTTGATACTGAGTACATTTGTGTGCTAACATGCATTTAATATTCCTTTTAGAATTTATGATCTGTGGATATGCCTGTTAATAAATCACCTATGATAAATACATATGGAGGCATATCTTCCCCTTATAATGAAGAACACCGGAAATTAAACTTTCAACATTTAAGTGGAGAAAGGAGTCCTAAATCAAGGTAAGCTAGAAAAAAAATTACAGGACCCATATGTATTGTAGAGAGTTTAGAAAATATAGAAAATTGTGAAAAAGAAAAATTCACCCATAGCTTTCTAACCAAAGATTAAAATTTTAAAGTTTACTGAAGTTATTTTTAAATAGCCTTGTTTATTGTGATTATATGCTTTCTAAAATTTTGAATTCTACACTTTTTGTTTGAATGATCTATACTCATGTTTACTTAATTTGTCATAAAAATGTGTAGATTACATGAGAAAATATTTGATAACTCCTGTATCATGAAGAATTTTATTTATTTCTAAGACCTTTGCTATTTCAAATTTCACCAAAACAGAATGTTTTTCTATATTTCAAATTGTTTTGTTGGGATAAAGTTTCTGCAATGAGTAAAGAGTAGTTTAAAAGAACTTTCACAAAGACTTTACAGTCACAAATAATGTACTTTTTCTAGTTGTTTTCTGTGGTATCTTTGTCTCAATACCATTGTGACCCATATTATAAAAAAAGTGGCAGAAGAAGTTGTTATCCATCTACAGTCCTACAGAGAAGAAAATAAAATTCAATGTATTATTAAAACATTGAACAGTTTTGCTATTATTCATATAAACATATGGAATATGTTTAATAATATGCTGAAGAAATAAGCAAAACTGGTCAGTGCATCTAAATGGTCAAGGATGCTAGAAATAAAAAGCAACAAAACCTGAATATGCAAATCATGACTAGATAATTCTGTTACTAATGGGATGTAGGTAAACAGAAGGAAAATAATTTGTATAAAAATATTCAGAGTAGTTTTAATTACATTTCAGAATTGGAAATAGCAAATGCTTCATAGTTGAATGACTAATTCAATTAAATGTTTCTGAATAGTAGAATACAATAGAAAGGTTTATAAGAAAAAAATTGAAACAGAAATTATGTAGACAGTGATTAAACTGATTATATGAAATGTGTATTATGGATACTAGAATTCACAAAGAATGGAGTATAATCTTTTATGTTATTTTCAGTCTACCAGATAGTTATAGATACAATGCTAAAAAGTAGGTTAGATTCTTCATTTAAACAAATTTCAAAAGCCCTAGGTCTAATAAGTGCAATTGCTTTCTTTGCTACAAAAATTCTCAGCTTTTTGTTTGTTTCCTTATTTATTTATTTAGAGACAAGGATACCCAGGCTGGAGTTCAGTGGTGTGATTATAGCTTACTATAACCTTGAACTCCTGGGTTCAGGTGATCTTCCTGCCTCAGCCTTCTGATTAGCTGGCACCCAGGCATGTACCATTATGCCTGGCTAATTAAAAAAAAATTTGTGTGTGTAGAGCTAGGGTTTTGCTTTTACGTCCAGGCTGATGCTGAATCCTGGCCTCAAGTGATTGGCCCTCCTTTTCCTCCCAAAGTGTTGGAATTATAGGCATGAACCTCTGTGCCTGGCTCAGTTTTAAAATATGCTCATGTGTAGTGTAAATCTACATTAGGGGGGCTGATACAGTTTGGCTCTATGTCCCCATTCAAGTATCATCTTGAATTGTAATCCCCATGTGTCAAATGAGGGACTTGGTAGGAGGTGATTGGATCATGGGGATGGATTCCCCCTTGCTGTTCTCATGAAAGTGAGTGAGTTAGTTCTCATGAGATCTGGTGGTTTTATGTGTCTGGTACTTCCCCCTTCTCAGACTCTCCTGCCACCATGTAAGAGGTGCCTTGCTTCCCCTTCCACCTCTGCCATGATTGTAAATTTCCTGAGGCTTCCCCAGCCAGGTGGAACTGTGAGTCAGTTAAACCTCTTTTGTTTATAAATTACCCAGTCTCAAGTGCTATCTTTATAGCAGTTTGAGAACAAACTAATACAGAGACAGAGCTGGCCTTGCCAGTACTACCTATATAGCTCTTTTCACCAGAATGTACTCATGGAACACATTTTAAGGAATATTAATTTCTGTTCAATGTCCATAATTTTTGTTAGGAAAAATAACTTACTAGATGAAAATGTGTCGTTACTAGATCAATATTTCTTGATAATTAAAAAATTTTGTATGATTTTTAAATTTTTAAGAAATTGCTAAAAGCTTAGAAAAGTGTAGTGATATACACACGTAGAATTTAAGATGTTGGCGTATTGTTATGGGCTGAATGTGTGTGTCCCCCCAAAATTCATATGTTGAGGTCCCAACCTCAATGTGCATTATGGCTACCACAATTCATAAAGAATAGTGTGTAATCTCTTATGTTATTCACAGCAAACCAGATAGTAACAGATATTATGCTAAAAAGAAATGGGTTAGGTTTTTCGTTTAAACAAATTTGAAAAGCCCTGCAGTTAACAAAGTGAAATTGTAACCCAAAGTGATGGTGGTAGGAAGTATGGCCTTTGGGAGGTAATTGGGCATAGATGAGGTCATGATGGTAGAGCTCTCATGATGAGATTAGTGTCCTTACAAGAAGAAGAAGAGCTACTAGCACTTATTCTCTCCTCTGTGTGAGGATACAGCAAGAAGGCAGCTGTATTAAGCCAAAAACACAGCCTTCACCAATACCAGTCCATGCTGGCACCCTATCTTTGGATTTCCTAGCTTCTGGAACAAGGAGAAATAAAATGTTTAAGTCACCCAGTTTATACTGTTTTGTTGTAGAAGCCTCAGTACCCTGAGACACATATTATTATGTTTGTTTCAAATAATTTTCTTGAATAAAGAGTACTTCAAGAGATACAATTTCAGCTGTTTAAACATATATGCTTTTAACTATAGTAATTGTGGCATATATCATTCCAGTTCATTTTTCTACTTTAATATACATGAATATGAAATTGTATTTTTTCACATTTATTAATGTAATTCTACATAATACATTTATTTTTGACTTGGCTTTTTAAAAAAAGCAATGCTATGTTTTAACTTTAATCCATATTGATAATTATATATTTTCTTTATTCATTTTAATTGCTGAACATTCTAATATAATGTATTTTCTTTATTTACTTTATTGTTTTCCATATTTTTGACAATAAAATCAATGCCATAGTGAAAATCATTGCACATTTCTCCTTGTGTATCTGTGCAAGTATTTATTTTTTATTTTGATATTTTTATTTTTAGAGTTAGGGTCTGACTCTTCTGTCTTCCAGGCTGGAGTGCAATGATGTAACCCTAGCTCACTACAGTCTTGAATTCCTGGTCTCAAGAGATCCTCCTGCTTCAGCCGCTGGAGTAGATGGAATCACAGTAACATGTCACCATACCTGGATAATTTTAAAAAATATTTTTGTAGAGGTGAATTTTGCATCATTGCTGAGGCTGCTTTTAAACTCCTGACTTCAAATGGCTCTCCCACCTTGGCCACCCTAAGTGCCGGGGTAATAGACATGAGCTGTTGTACCCGGCCAAGTATAATTTTTGATTTATTATTTTTCAAAATTTACTTGATGCTTTCTATGGGTCTCCAAGGTTTCTCAATCTATATATGTATACACACACACACACACACACACACACACACACCCCTTCACCAACACCTAACAGATCAATTTGGGTAGACTTAACATTTTTATCATAACCATATTATAATTAAGAAACATGATATATCTCTCCATATATTTAGTTACTTATAAAATTTTCTCAATATGGTTTTAGTGTTTTTTTCATATGGGTATTGTCTTAGATTTCTTAATTTTTGCTAATATAATAGGTCAAATGTGACACTTGTCTCAAAACTAATTTTTCAAGATCCCTAATAACTATGAGGTTAAACATTTTTTATGTTTATTGCTATTAGAGTTACTTATATGTGTTGCCTTATTAACATGTTGGTTTTACTAAATATTTATTATAAATTCTCCCAAGGTGTGACTTATCCTTTGACTTTGTTTTTGTTATGCCTTCAATTACATGGTAGTCTTAAAAATGGTACAGTTATTAAGTTTTTAAGATTCATTAAGGTTGTTGAGTTTAGCTATATTATTTTTACTGCTTATTTATTCATTTCACTGGTATATTTTATTAACATACTGCAAATTATCCATTAATTCTGTTATTTTGGATATTTCAATTATTTTCGGTTTATGGTTATTATAAACAATGTTTCATACATTCCTGTGTGGTCATCATGGCATACATCTTAATGTACAAACTTTTGAGTGGAATTGCTGGGTCAGAGGATATGTATATAAAATTTAGTGACCAGAAATTACTAATTTTTATAAAGTCAAATATGTTAATATTTTATGATTAGCCTTCTTTTTTATATTTTGGTTAAAAAACCTTTCCCAACCACCAGATCATGTAGATAGCCTTGTATATTATTTTCTAAATACCTTATTTTCTCTTTCATGTCTATAATTTATGTGGAAATTTTTGTGAATATTAAGCACAAGTATCATTTTCTTTTTAAAATGTGCATACTCAATTATCAATACCACATGTGGAAAAAAATTATTGTATAACTCAAGCATTCACATGTAATTGATATACTTATCTTCTCTATATGCTGCTTCACTGGCCCATTTGTCTATTTCCACACCAACACCACACTGCCTTAATTACTATGGTTTAGTAATAACATTTAATAGTCAGTTTGATAGATTTTTCCAAACTTGTTTTTCTTCAGTGGTATCTTGCATATTAATTTTGAAACCAGCTTGTCATATTTTGTTTTCAAAAACTTGCAGGGAGTTTTTAATTGGATTTTTCAGAATCTATAAGTCATTTTGGGGAGACAAGATCTTTATCACAATCATATTCTAATTTACAAACATGGTATATCTCTCCATTTATTTAGTTATTTATAAAATTTTCTCAATACAGTTTTCGTGCTTTTTTCATGTGGGTATTGTCCATCATTCTCATAGCAGTATTGTCAACAGAGGCGTTGTTAGATTTATTTCTATGTATTTACTATTTTTGATGCCATTTATGAATTATATGCATATATAGATTTCTAAAATTTGTATTTTCTAACTTTTACCAGAAAAAAGTACATTTTTACTCATTGATTTTAC